GATCAGATGGAGGTAAATAACATTTAATAAGATTAAATCTTGACTGTTGGAGGGAGAAGAGGAATCTTTGTGTCCAGACCCTTTTTGCAAGCAGTAGCAAAATTCAGCCACAGGGTGAGTGTGAGTGGTTTGTTCCTTGAATCCACTTGGCAGGACTCACCCACAGAGGAGTGGAGGATGTTGCTGCCTGTGTCTGCACAATAGCGCAGCAGGTTGTGACCCACAGAAGGTGAAGACCTGACCAGGGTATTTAGGGATGAAGCACAGTATGAGATTGAGGTCCACCTCCAAACATTGCTCACACAAGTATCAAATAACTATGACAATGACTTGCCTTTCATCCACAGCTCAATAACAAAAAGAAAAATCCTGTGCAAATAGAACTTGCACATCTCCTGAATTCACTAACGTCTGAGCAACTGGAAAGGTCTGGTTCTGCACCCTCCACCCCATCCTCTGTCTTTTTTAAGACAGCTGTTATTTTTCCAAGGTCCTCTCTTCCTACCACCTTGTTTCCAAAGCCAGCAGGAGAAAATCTGTAAAGTCCTGACTTTGTTTCCTTTCTGAATACTGCATTTAGGGTTTCTTGCTATAAGCACCAATTCTCTGATATTCCTGTCAATTCTTCAGAAACCTCAGCTTGCTCAAAAAGAGCTCATTTAAAAATAAAAGCTGAAGCAACCATATCACAAGTCAGACAGTCTTGTTCAAAGGGAGATGTCACCAGCTTTCATTCCCTCTCTCCCCTCAATCAGATTTCAGAGAAAACTCTTCTTTCTCACAATCATTATGCCACAGCCATGATCAAAATATTCCTTTTTCTTTATTTTACTGCCATGTTAGGGGGTCAGAAATAATTTGAAAAGAAGGGATTGATTGTGAAGCAAAAAGCATGTGTCCTAAGATTTGGTGATCAAGTCTATGAGTATGAGCCAGAGGATGTTTGGATTTCCCCAGACAGCTCTTGTTATGTGTTATATAAAGTTTATCTAGGAAATATTTTGATACTGTTTCATAAGTCCAGCTATGGAAGGCAACAGAAGTTTTTTGCTGCTGTTTGCCTCACAAGCTCTTTTATTTCTGATTTAAAAGAGCATCAGATGAAAGACTTCAAATAGGAGCCTGAATAGAAATCCTTTCTCCCAGGAAAGACACATCAGCAGCAACAGCAACAGCAGAGGCTCTCTACCAATCAACTCCCATCATACCCTGGTGCATCAATACAGACAGAACAATGAGAACCTTGTGCTGAGTAGAAGAAAAAGCCATGTTTTCCTAATGGGTACCTTTTTCCCAGCTCATAAAAAGGTGATTCTCATTTGGTGTTGGGAGATGGATTCTTTGAGCATCCTCCGCTATTTCTCACCCATTTATCTTCAAACAAGGATCTCAGTGCTTCCTCCAAAACAAGGATCTCAGTGCTTCCTCCAGGGATGATCCTCATGTATGTGAGGATGAGAGAGCCCCCAGACTCACTCCTATCCATGCCTGCATCTTCAGTTTTCAGTAATGTCTCATGTCAGGCTGCACTCATTGCTGTGAATGGTGGTGGGCTGGATAACCTATTGACCCTTCTGGACTTAAGACCTACTGCATGACTTCATATGAGGTCAGGAATCTAGGTTCAATGTTAAAAATCAAAAACTCTCATATGTGATCTACCTGGGCACTGAGTTCATAGTTAAAAACCCTTGAGAGGATCAACAATCTGTATCTTTCTTTGCTGAATTGTGTTACTTTTTTCCCTCCAGTTAACTTTCCATAACTAATTTAGAATAATCTTAGAAAGGGAAAGTTTCTGGATAAAACTACCTGTTGGGATAGAGGACTTCTGATGCTTTTGAACACTGTATTCAGTACCAAAGCAAAGGATTTTTGAACCAGGATGTTGAACTTGGAAATTCAGAAGTCTGAGAATGTCACTTATCTCCTTGGAACAGCAAATGAACATGATCCTGCCTCTTGGTTTTGTTTTGGCTTGCTTGTTTTTTGCTTGTTTTTTTCTTCTGAATTTCATTAGCCAATGAATTTTTCCTAGTTTTAGATATTTTTTCAGTGCTTTACAAAATGCATCTGTGAGTTAGTCCAGGTCAGGCTTATATCTGCTAGTTTTGCATAAGCTCATGTCTTTTCTGCTGTTTTGGACAAGAGGAGTGCTCCACCAGTGCTGCCAAGGCTCTGCCTGTCCCAGAGCATCGTCAGCTTCAAATATCCCACATTTATATACTCGCAATTTTGTGTTTTTATCATGTCTGCTCTTCAGCTACCTAACTAATCTCCTGGTATAGCCTTCCTCTAAACCTATCTGACTGAAATCTCAAAAAAATATCTATCCTACAGGTAGTCTGCTGCTCAACTGCTTAGCATGCTTCTTTTTGCTATCTCATAATTTTCTTACTCCTCTATGTCCAATCTGCCATTATTTCCTGTGGCAGTATCAGGTGTAGGTGTAGAAATTTGCCTTGAAGCAAGAAAAATTCTAGAGAGCCAACAGAACTGTGTGCCCTGTTCTATGTTATGCAAAGTTAACCTAAAGCTCCCATGAAAAGCAGGTAAAACTGAGATTTGACCAGACCTATAAAGAGGTATTTATGGCTCAAAAAGGAACTTCAAAATTTCCATCCCTAGGATGTGACCCTTAAATCCACGGCCAACAGGTTTGCAATTCCATAGTATGGACGTAAGATCAAGGACAATTTAGTAACCTTCATTAGCAGGAGACACCTCCTGGCGTGGCCACCAAAACTGCCCACCTGTAGATGTTTAGGCCACCTAAGTCCCAAAATAAAGTGTGAGATAAAAGCAAGTGCTCATAGATCTCATGGTAAGGGAATACCTAAGTAGAAGAGGAGTTGCCTGAGGACAGGGAGAAAAGATGAGTAGAAAAAGAATTTATTCAGCTCAAAAGTCCAGAAATTAGGAAATCCTTATGAAAGTATATGAGGCCGTGACTTGAAACCACCATATTTGCCAACAAGAGAGACACAACTTCATTTTTGTGCCAAAAACTGAACCATCAAGATAAGGCTGGAAAAGCAGGACATAATGTCTGACACCTATCTGATAACAGCCCAACTGATGCATGAGGCAGTTCTCCGAATATTTGCCTTGCTTGAACAAGTAGTAACTTCTTTCTGTCATTTGACATTTGGTTCCTATGGGGTATAACTTTCATTATGACACTTCACTAAGACAAATTCTGTTTTGTATAACTTCACTTTTTCCTATGATTACTGTAACATTCATTCAACTGCTGCATGATGATCTGTGGGGACAGAGATACTGCAAAAGAACAGTGAAGATCTGTGCCTTGGGACAAGAGCAGAAGACCGCCTCCCTCTCTGCAGCACTACAGGTGGACTCTACAGAGGTTACACACAGATGTTCAAGATCTTCTGATCCTGTGCACATGGGAACATTTTTTTACTTCTCTTATTTTGTGCCTGGACCTGATTCATTTTCTGCCGTTTACAATCCATGTTTAGAAACAGCTCAGCCCTGCATAAATTTGACTTTGGTTAACATGACCAGAGGCCAGAATCTTTGAGAGTGATGAAAAGAATCTCAGTAGTCAACAGAGGCTTAAATCATGACTTTAAGATAATAAAACCAGGATGAGAAGAATCTACTCTCAAAGTAAAAGTCTAAGTGCTTCCTTGGTTGCATGGTAAGCTAGCCCATCTTCCTAATATGGCAAAATTCCTCCAAGTTTCATATTTTCCATGAATAATGCATTATTGGTATCAACACACATTATTCAATAGCTCACTTCTGTCAAGTATTAACAGTAAAATGCCTTCAAGGCCTACGGAATATTGTCTCTCAAAACTGCCTTTCACTAAACTTCTATTTTCACCCTGACTGACACCCAAACAATTTTAAAATGATGTCCCCAAGTACTGTAATACTGTAAGTTCCACCTTACTCCGAGAAAGCTCTGGGATGGCTCTGAGCACATGGACTGCCCTGTATGCAACCTCCCAAGGCGACTATAGCGTGCAGAGAGAGATAAAAAAGAAGTCTTCATTTTGCTAAGAGGAAATTAGGTAATACTTAGAAAAAAATTGATCAGGAGAAGTCAGAGCCACATTAAAACAGACCTTGTTTGTTTTCAGACATCTATCTCTGAGGTAGTCACTGTAGGATCTCTTTACAGTCAACAAAAGAGGCACCTTGCAAGGGCAATTCATCTTCTAATACAGATGTCCAAGCAAGCCAATCAAATCAGACACCATAGCTTATATTTCTCTTTATTGACTATAAAGAGAGTCAAAACTGACTGCTTTTAATGTGGGTGACTACGCTGTTCTTGTCAAACAAATCTGACTTCTGTTTTTTATGTCCTGACCCCAACATCCTTTCCAGGCATACAGCAAGTAACAGCTGAACAGGGAGTACTCTGTTTGCAAAGTCAGGCATGGCAAAGCTAGAAAATGACTTAATGAATTTTGTGTGATCAATCTTTACTCACCACCACCTGTATGGAGGCAACATCATTAAGTCTTCAGTTACCTAACGGTGCCATAATTTATAACACAAAGTCTCTTTATTTTTATGTTAGAGTGAAAGGGAAGAAATATATTTATATGTTGGATGAGGTTGATGTCTTCCGCAGGAATTTTGATGGAGGGAGAGAAAAATCTGAGTGTCACCCATACACTGATGACAGCAGAGACCTAAAAGTGTCCGTACCTGTGCGTGTCCCATATGCACACAGAGTATGAAGGAGATTAAGGAAGCAACTCCCTGGTGCTCAGTCTCCAAGGGAGTATAGGGGAGAAGCAGCAAGTTTCCATGTCACTTGGGAACTGCCACTAAGGAGAGGAGTTGAAGAAACCACATAACTTCTCAGTCTCAGTACTATGCCTGAACATACAAGTCACCTAAGGAAAATGATAGAGACTTTGCAAACAGATAACATGGAAAGACAGATATTCAGCCCGCAACTCCAAAAAGGACCTTATAATGAATGTATTGAACAGTGATGAAGTCACACTTACCCTGGCTTTATTTCAGGAGGTTTTGGTAAGGGCTTCAGAAAGCCTTTTTTCCCAACCAGCCAATATGTGTCTTCTACTCCTTTACCCTAAAATAAAACAAAAAATCCAGATAAAGAGCAGCTTTCTGATTGCCCTCTGCTCAATTCATAATTTCCTCTGGATTTCTCTGGCTTCATATATCTCCAGAGACAGACCATGGCTGGAAATCTTGGGCTGTCCTTCCAAACAGCTCAGGGATTATTTGAATTTCATTATCCTAAAGCAGGATATTCATTATCCTTATTCAAACTGTCCTTTACAAATGACTCCTAGTGATCTGGGTCATTGAAACTACACAATTTAGCAGAAATGGGAAACTACAGGATCTCTAATCACCTTATTTGGCAGCACTAGCATTATTAATTGAGAGATTTTACAACTCTTTCTGGACTGATTATCAGAATATAACTTCCTCTCCCACCACTGATGATTTAGCTTTTAAGGTGTGATACATCTGGTGAACTGTAGGCATCTATGTCAGAGTCAATCACCCTTGACTGAAGAAGTGGAGGAAACATTCATCTTCACATAAACTGGACCCTGACAGTACGTCAGGTTAATAATTTTCTGAAGTTCCAATTTATCTCCACTAACTGTGTAAAGGTTTCTTTCCATTGACTAAACTTGGAATAATTACCTCCGATCTCCACTTGCAGACATATGAATTCAGATGAGATGAATCCACTTGTCATGAAAGATTGTTGAGGGCCTGAGGCCGTATTCAGAGCTTTAGTTCTAGGTGTTTAAGGCAAATAAAGATTCTAAGTCTGTCTATTAACTACGTAAGGGTAGAAATGATGGTTGAATTATTTAGTACTCTCTTGTTTGGACACTGTGAGAAGTAGCAGCTTCTCTTAAGGTGGACTAAATAGAGTACTAAATAAATACTTATATCCAGTGCATACAGCTGATTGCTCAATCCCACAGTGCTTCAATAACCACCTTATGTACTGAAACAACTGGAAGGGACAATTTTGGAAGGATTTAGCAGAAGAGTGGTGGATGAAGGCCAAACAAGACCTTACTATGTAAATTCTCTAAACAAGAAGACTCCCTTGTGAAGTGCTTCGCACAGCCCCGGCCCTTCTTACCCTCAGTTCTGTTTTCCCTCTAGGTATGATTTCATAGCCTTCATTCAGACTCCGAAGTGTATCCACTGTACTTTGGCTGACATGAATTCTGTAAGCTGGGAACAGAAAGCAAAACAGCTGAATCACTATGCTGCACACAGGCTGCAAATTCCCCACTGCTTCATACTGATGAGTAAAAGTGCTCCAAAGCATGCAGGTGTGTAGCTGGCGTAGCTGTGTGGTGCTCCTCTACATAGAGTTCAACGCTGACTGATGGATCCTTTCAGGCAGGGCTGTAACAAGCACAGGGGCAGAGGAGATCCACACTGGGGGCTTCCTGCAGATGGATACCAAACACACTAACTGCAGAAGCCTAGTTCAACAAAGATAGTGATTTTCCAGTGACATTGTCAGCTGGATTGCTGTTTTATCTATTGCCACAGAATAACTAGGGAATGGGAAAAAAAACCTAAAATAACTAACTGTCCTGCTCCAGACACCCAACATAAATAGAAAGTTGGGATGAAGAGCAGAGAGATGGAGTTTGCAAGGGAACATAAAGAAAATGTGGCTATGCAACTAGGTCTGTCTGGGTTTTCAGTAATTGATTCCACCCAGAGCTACCATTAAGTCTGTGAACAAAAAGGGCTAAGATGGAAAACCTTACTGAATTCCTAACTCTCCCAGCTTGTTTTACAGCCCTTGCTGGAACTCCCTGAAATTTGTTATTGTTATGCTGGTGTGAACAAGCCAGGCAATGTTTCTAAAACTTTTCTTTCAAAGAAAAGTTCAAAGATACTTTTCTTTTTTGTTTTTATTGAGCTTTTATTTCAATTGTGTCAATCAAATTCCCTTCCCTCTTGAATGATAGGGGATGAGCCGAATATTTTTTTTTTTTTTGGTATAATAATCTAAAAGAAGAACATCAGTTGGAGTATGTAGAGGAAGACCTCATAGCTATGAGCTACATTTCCTGAGAGACTAACCTACGGTTTTCCTGTTGTCAGTTATCTATATGCATTTCTGCTAATGTATAACAATGCTCTCGTATCTGCAGTGCTCCTGCTGCCTCCATCTCAGTGAGACTTTCTACAACCAAGGGTATGATGGAAGCAATGCTCTTGTGTGCTTCAACCCTTGCTTTGTACTGGTCGTGACAGGTAAATGCATTATTTTACTGTGCAAGAACAGCTCTGAATTAAGGGTTCTCAGCACTGACTGAAAGCAAGATGCAACCTATGTCAGAGAAAACTAGGGCAAGATTCATGTTGATTTTAGTTGATGGCATTCAAATTAGAGGACTGGAGATGGAAGGCAGGGTCTTGAAGGCAGGGTCATAAAGGCTGACCTACAATTGCAAAGCTGATGCCCTGTACTTCAGGCTGCTTTGAATTTTGTCATTTGACTTGCCCTTTTTCAGTTGCAATGCTTATAATTACAGATGTGCATTTCTTCATCTCTCTTGAGAAGTTAGTTCAACCACCCACCCCAGGGACTGTCCCAAATACTCACGCAGGCCCGTGGACTCCATCCGTGACGCCGTGTTCACCGTGTCTCCAAAGAGGCAGTACCGTGGCATGGTCAGCCCCACCACGCCTGCCACACAAGGCCCTGAAAGACACATCATCTGTGTAACCCAGATGGTACTGCACAAATCTTGGGGCTCACTGACAAACAAATCTCATCCTCTCCTCTGATATCCAAAAAGCCACTTGTAAATACAGAAGAAAAGTTCTTAAAGATCTCACTGATCTTAGTGCTTGCTATAAGCAATCAAAAATTAAGCACTGGTCTGGATTGCACACTGGTGTTTTATGCCTGAGAAGGGTCATGCATGGTAGGACCTCAGTTTACCATCATCTGGAATAAGTTTGTCCAGAGTTCACAGAAACTCAAGGACTACCATAATCTCATTTTAAAAAGACCTTTTTCCATGTGAGAAGATGAAAGTTCAGATCCTGTGATATGCCCTGTATCACAATGAAACAGGGTTAAAAATCAGCCTTGGAAGCCCAGAGCTGCTGGCAGCACTCTGGACCACCCTGTGTCCCCTCCTGGGAAAGGAAATCATCGTTAGCTTGCCTTTCTAGCCAAAACCTGTTTTTTTTCTTTTATTTCATTCTTTGTACAAAATCCATTCACTTCCAAAGTAGCTTCCAAAGAATTGATGCCAAGTTCTCATGGAGACGTATGTGTGCAGGATTCACAAGAACATGCACACACTGAGAGATGAAATGTGTGACAAACACCGTAGACAATTGTCATCCATGACACATGGCTTAGATAATGTTTAGACTGCACTCTGAAAGATAAGACGCTAAATTTCATCACCCACAATATAAAATATCAGGCCTGTAAAATAAAAGCAATGTAAGGAGATGTGGGGTTTCTTGCAAAGAAAAGACAGGAGGTACTGTATTTTCCATTAGATGCATTTATGAGATATGTCTTTGCCCTTTCAATGTCTTGATCCTTCTGAGTTAAGATTTAGTATAACTGATATCTAGGAAATCTTTTGCCATGCAAGTTTACAAGAGATGGGAACACTGTACATCATCAACAGTACCTGAAATGATGCTATAGATAAGGTTCTATGTTAAAGTGTTGGGGGTTTTGTGGGTTAAATTATTTGTTTTTAAAACAGTAACAAATATAATTGTAGCCTAATTTAGAAGCGATCAGGTACTTGTTTTTTTACTGTGATTTTAGCCTTATTTACAAAAATTGATTCCTTCAGATACATCTTAAGGACAATGAAACTCCATAGCTGAAACCCACAGGAAACTTTGCAAGAACCCCTATTGTTGTAACCTCTGAAAAGTTGTTGCTGCACAAAGTTACCAGATTTTAATATACTTTATGAGGATGCAAACTGAGAGGTGAGACAGATTTTAACTCTTACCTGATTAAGCACTGCTAGATTAAATATCAGAAAAAAAAAGAGACAGGAAGAATGGGTCATACCAAAAATGTTACAAGGATTTAAACAACATATCTGGATCAAACACAGCATGCAGAGACTGATAAAAATCATAAAAACCTAATTTAAGGTTTGGGTTTTTTCAGCTGTCAACAAACTTTGGACAAGACGCTGTTCCTCAGAATACCTTCCAATTTAATTCCCATCCTTATTGGTACATTCTAATTTGTTTCAAGCTTTTCAGGAGAGGAGCTATATCCACCACAGGAAGTCTTTTCAGGTTTTAGTCTATAGGCACTTCTATAGCATAACTGTAAGGGCACTGTTGAGACTTCTGGGCCAAGGACCTAACGCTTACCTAAGTGGTCTTTAATCTGTGCATGCTAATGTGACATATACATAAAAAAGGGTCTCGTTGGAGACTTTTTAATTCACGCTTCAATAAGAGCTTTCCCTGAGAAAACACCTTCTCAGAAAGCATCGCCTCTCTTTTTCTTGTGGTGATGACATGACAGCAGCAGTCAGAAATCTCAATAAGGAACAAAGCTCCTTCTGTAGTAGGTGTTGCAGGGACACAAAAAGATGGTTCCTGTCAAAAAAAACAGTCCTCACTGAAGAGGATTTGATTCCATCTTAAGAAGCACAAGTAAAGGGAGTCAAGCTTCTACTGCTGTCAGTGGAGACAAGTCATCTGGTCAACTGAGCTGAGAGAGCCTTTCTATTCCTGCACCTGAACAATTCTCCAGGGATCACTTATGTGTCCTCAAAAAGAATACAGGCTCCCTAATAACCCTGGAAATACCTCCATGTGGGTGCCTAAATTCAGGTTTCCTACTCAGTCAGTGCAATCATCTGGCCATTTCTGCGAACCTAGGAGAGGCCAGATTTTTAGGCTGAGGTACCTATGCAGGAAATTCCTACTTCAAAACCAACCCTACGGCGTAAGCATTCCCAAAAGACTTCTCTGTGTTGAAAGCATCTAAGACTTAATTCACTCACTGCCTTCACTGCCTGGGTGTGTTCTCCCTTGTCTAGACAGCTTCAGCAAAAGGCTAGTAAAAATTCCCAGTGGTAAATCTCCCACAGTAACCAGTTTCAGAGGAAATCAGACACCCTGTGATGAGAATGTTATGGCCTAGTTATTTAATTACATAGGTTCACAGGTTTGCTTTGAAATGGCTCTTTGCCAGGGTTTGCAAGGATCAGTTAATGAGAGGTTCTGGCTAATACTCTGCAACAACCATCAGTGGTGCTGCAAAGTACAGGGCTGACTGCCAGAGAGCCTGACCGATAAACAAATATTCAGCCTCAGCGGAAAAGCTTGTCCTCTCACCACCACTCTCCCCAGCTGTCCAGCTCCAGCCCAGATATGGATGGCATGGAAACAGCTGAGTCAGCTGAGTTATCCTGGACATGCAGCGAAGTCAAGAGTGGAGAGACAAGATTCCAGGATTCATTTAAAGCAGGGGAGAAACTGCAGACCAAACCTTGGTCTTCTTGTCCACTTTGCCTCACCCAAGCATTGCCATAAGTGGACCATGGACATAGGCCAGGAGAAGTTTCCAGAGGTGCAGCTCTCCATTGGGGTTGAAAGGACATGGGCAGCCCATGCCCAAGTTGCATTTATTGCTTTTTCAAAGAGGTGATCGTGAGCTTTTCTTGACACCACTTTCCAGAGAGCAGTTGAACTGCACAACTGGGGGTCACACCCATTCTCCATCCTTTCCAGTACAGTGAAAGTGTCAGCCAAACTCTCCTCTCCCCCAGGTGCCTCCTCAATGCTTTCATGATGCTGATGATTCCCTCTTCATGCTTCTTTTCTCAGGAGAAATAAGGTCTAAGGTTAATCAAACTCTGCTGTCAGCTCAGTGGCTCAGAGAGCTGGTTTGCTTTGGAACATGGATTTGTGGCTGCTCCCATGACAGTACGATGCTGCCAGATCTGTGCAAAACAGGATCTGATTCCTGCTTCTTTAGAAAGAAAACACCAACTCCTCCCCCTCTTCCTCTCACACCCAATACAACAATTCTTAGCAATTCTGCATTCCAGCTACCTAGAGTTCATAAAACCAAGAAATAATATAACTACCCCCTGTACATATCACCTAGGGATAGATTTTTTGGCATACTGTATGGAAGACACATTGCAGACCTGCTGTCAACAGGCAGCAGCAGATGTTGCACATCAATTTCCTCTCTTTCCATGTTGAAAATGTGCTCCTTGTGCTCCAGAGACTCCTGTTCTGGGCAAGACAAGCCTGGGCCACAGTCTCACGTAATTTCTGATAGAGTATTAAATACACAGTGCTCCTGCAATCATTCCTTTAACACTTTAGACTTCTGTGAAAGGCCAGCTAAGGCTCCCAAACTTCAAAGAAAACAGCAGAGTTTTAAAGAGATATCCCCAAAGGAAGATCTTGCAAGGTCTAGGAGATATGAAACATTAATCTTAACTCTGCTCAAGTCACAGGTCTGTTCTTTGGATATTCTGGGTGATATACTTCCTTTCTTCTCCTTCTGTCTCCCAACATGTATAACAGAAACCAGAATACTGACATCTGTAAAATGCTTGCATGACACAGTTGCAAAAATGTGGACATTATCAGATAGGTAGGAGGATTAAACCTCCTGTAATATTGGGTGAGATTCCTGGGTAGTCTTTTTCATTGTTTGGCTTCCCACAATGGGCATTACCTGATACTGTAGAGGAAGAGGCGAGAAGTCTGGTAACAAACAGCTGGGAAAAATCTATTAGTGGATGACTACAAAGTGTATAAAATCATGAAGATTCATATCTCTTGTAAAAGTATTGATTCCATAATAATAGCAGATGTATTTTCCTACATTTAAAAATCATATTTTTGCCTATGTAATGGCAGTCTTGGTTTTTTTGGGGTTTTTTTTGGTTTATTTTGGAGTTTAATTATATTTTTTAGATATATAAAAGAAAAGAACTTTCTCTTTTCTTTTTAAACAAGCCACTTTTCTGTTAATTGACTAGATTATGACTTCTACATTACAGATAATTTGTTTTCTTTATAACATAACTTTTTCTTAAGATCTGTATCATATTTTTCTTCCAGTATGTCCTACCTGTAATAAATATCACCAAATTTTTTATTCTTTCACTTTATATGCCAGTTTTTCTGTGCTTTTTAATTTCAGAATAGAGTAGACATCACTGGATGTCTTCGTATCCCACCACTGGAGATCCTATGGCACATCAAAGATCTATCCATTCAATGAAACCCTTGTGACTAATAATCTGGATGCAGTTCCTAACTGGGATAGAATACGCAATTTCTCCCTGAAATGATACTTAGCCATTCTCCTCCACAAACCCTCTTTGGGTTTTGTGTTTCCATTTAAATGCCCCTGTTGATATGGAAGATTTTAACGTGTCTTGTAAGACTGTTTTTGGGGGGGCAGGAGCGAATAAAGCATTTGAAGCTGGAAATACAATTGTGAAGGAGTTCTTTGATGTTCAGGTGCAGGTGGGTGCTGCTGCTTACCTGTGTGCAGCCCAATTCGTATCCTGAGGGGAATGTCTGGCATATGCCTCATTTTGAATGTTCCTACTGAACTGAGGATGTCCAAGGACATGTTGGCTATCTCAGCCGCGTGCTTGTTCCCGTTCCGTTTTGGTAGTCCTGAAGCAACCATGTAGGCATCACCAATTGTCTCCACCTAGCAAATACCATTACATTAAAAAAATAAATTAAAAAATTGAAAAAGATGGAAAGGAGACATAGAATAAAACTACTTCTCACCTTGTAAACATCATGATTTCCAAGAACAGCATCAAACAGTGTGTAAAGGTCATTCAGAAGGTCAACTACTTCAATGGGCTCACTGAGGGCTGAAATGGATGTGAAGCCCACGATGTCACTGAAGTAGATAGTCACCTGGTCAAAATACTCCGGTTCCACAGTGCCACCAGTCTTGAGGGCTTCTGCCACTGATCTGAAATAACAACACCAGCAAAGTTGGCAGGGCACAAACCCTTTTCTGCTGCATGCCCAAGAGCTCAGACTCTTTTGTCCTACTTGTTCAGAGTATCTTTCACTAAATACAAAGTTCTATATGGCTGTAACAAGTACTGATTAAAGCTTCTTACTTTGATTGGAAGGTGCTGGCCAAAATTAGAGGTCAGTTGTACAGTGTTGCTCACTTCTGGGGAAGATTTTTATCCAGTCAAGCTATGGGTTATTTGGTTTGGTTTGGGTTTTCTTTATACCACCTAAAGTACCAGTACTTACGGGGGAAGCATTTGTGACAGTAGTTTTTCTGTCTTCTGTTTTTCAATTTCTAGCTCTTCGGTCCGCTCCCTGATTAAATCTTCCAGGTTGCTTGAGTATTGCTCAAGCATCCTGAGCATTGAGTCAATGATATTGGTCTTTTTCCCTTTGTTGATTGTTTTGAACTGGAAAATAAAACTGTAGAGTTATTTGTCCATCTCATTACACCACTGTATCACTCTAAGTTTGGAAAGGAATGAAAAGCAAACACTTATTTTCAAGGTTCGGTGCTAAGGACTGGCTTTATCAATGGGAAGAGTTCAACAATAAAGGAAAAAAGCAAATTAGAAGGTGAATTTGTATCAATAGCTATGGAAGCTGCCCAGGAGCATGTTGCTCATCTATGAACTTTCAGTGACAGTTCCCTTACATCACCTTACAGTAATTGTCAACATTGTTGTTACGGAGTCTTATCAGGCTACAGGTTTGCAACCCCATTTATCCCATGACCAATCTTTAGGGTGACTTGCAAATCTTTACATTCAGAGGTACAAATTTCAGCGTATTAGGAACACTGACAACCTGCTTACATGTTACTGGACTTAAATCCAGCTTTACACTCTGGCATGTATGTGTACTGCCACCTCCATTCTCTATTCTTGTTGTGATTTCTCTTCCTGACCTGAAGTTGAATCTCTGGAACCTTTGGATAATTTGTGGCTTCTAAAGCTGTCTTAGATTCAACAGTGGAGTCACTGGGTCTAAAATTGTTCCCAGATTCATAGAACCAAAAGGTAAAAATTATGGATGTTTGTTTACTTGGTGTTAGACCAAGCAAATCAGTAGATCAGTAATTATTGGGTCAGAACCACCTTCTGGGGGAGCATGTGTGTTGGGGGAAGGGCTAGGCTAGGCCTGCAGGCACATGATCTGCAGGCCCATGGCAGGAAGGCACATGTAAGGCCTGTAGCCAACACGGCTGTGCCCATGAAGAGCACAGGGCAGCACCGAGACCCATGTGGTTGGGCTGTCAACCAAAAAGGCCTGCCTGGTAGCCTGCCCACACCACACCCCCTGGAGCCCCTGATTGGATGCAGAACCCCTTCCTTTGGCTAGGAAGACACTCGAGTGGTCAGTGAACCAAAGGTCCTGCCTAGAGAGAGGGGCCACAGTAGATAAAGAGGCACGCATAAGGTCTCCATCTTGCCTGGTCTCCTTGAAGTTGTCAACATGTGATCTTCCAGTGGTAACTATATTTTTCTCTCTTTATTCTTTCTTCTCTTAATCTCTCTTCCTTTACTCTTTTCTTCCTCTTGTGGGTAACTTAAACACCTATTTTCTGTATTTCACTTAAGTTGTGGGTATCTCATTTAACTTGTATAGGGTTTTGTGTTTGCTGGGTGTAACAAAAGTTCCCTACTCTATAGCAAGTCCTAGTAGCCTGTTGTAATACTTTTGTGAAGTTGCATGTAATCTCTGTAAACCCCTTTTTGCCAAAATGCCTATTTTCTCACCAAATTAAAAAAAAAGTCTCTTAGAGAAAAGTGTGTAGTCTTTTTTCCGGAAATGAACTCAAAGTATCAAAGAACCAGAGTTGGTTGCAAGAATTCATATGGACAAAATCTCTTGAAGTCTAAAATCAAAGTGTGCACCCAGTAAAGCTAGACTGGGGTTTAACACTTGGTTTGAGGAAATGGCTTCAAGTTGTGTCAAGGAAGGTTTAGACTGGATATTAAGAAAATTCTTTTTTCCCATAAAGGGTTGTAAAGCATAGTGGCAAACTGCTCAGGGAAGTGGTGGAGTTACCGTCCCTGGAGTGTTCAAAAAACTCGTGGATGTGGCCCTTGAGGACATGGTTTAGTGGCAAACATAGTGGTGGTGCTGGGTTGGCAGTTGGACTTGATGATCTTGAAGATCTTTTCCAACCTTAAGAAATCTATGATTCTATGACCTTATAAGGACATAGGAACTGCACGACTGGATCAGAAAGGGGGCTTATTTTGCCAATGCCTGCCCATGAGACTGGCCAGTAACAGATGTCTAAGAAAGCTTTTCAAACTGGGATCAAGTACAGTCATATTTCCCTGGGATGTTCTCCCATCCTCCACCAATCTGGAGCTGAGAGACCTCCTATGCCAAACACTGTATCTTTGTGTTTAACAATCTTTGGCAAATTTTCCTTTTCCTCACCTTTTAAACACTTCGGCAGATTAAAAATAAAAAGGAAAAGATATAAATGTGCTATTAAAATTTACAAATCATTGATCTCCATGAGATAATCTGTGAAGGTACACTGCAGACGTGAAGATATCAAGCCCATGTCCAGGCTGCTTCACCACCTCAAGGTCAGGACAAGTCTAGGGCTCTTCCACTTCTTCGTTCTTTAATAACTCAGTTAAAGAAAAAAACCCAAAACAACAAAACACTTCCCTGCCAAGTACAAACAAAGGAATTACACCTACTGCTGTATTCACCAACCTTATGAAATATCTCCTCAAAGGTTGGACGTCGTTCAGGGGCTTCAGCCCAGCATTGCTTCATTACCTGGAGGCATGTCAGGGGGGCCACCTCAGGGGCTATGTTTGGGCGACACAGAGGAGGGGGCTTCTTCACTTTCTTTATAATTTCTGTGACAAAGAGAAGAATGGGAAGCATGTTGTGAGATGGAGGGTCTTGATAGGGGCAAAGGACTTTTCACCTGTCCCTTGCTTGCTTCTTGAGCCATTACTGCTATTTCTCAGCACCCAATGTCTGTGCCAAATGAAGTTGGAGGTTTCTGCTTTACTGTCAGGAGTCTCTTGAGGGATTTAAAAGAGATTCATCTGCTTTCTTGTCCCTGGAGAACCAGGTTATGAGCAATAAAGTGTCTGGATGGGGAAAGAATGTGTGACAGATGGATGTGTGAGCCTGCAGGCGTGTGTTTAATGAAATTCCCTCTGACTCTCTCCACTAGGATTGGCAGTCTTCTAAAACAGCAGAGGTTTACGACTGAGCCCAGATAGGAAGAATAGCAGCCTCTGACACTTCATGGTTAGCTGGTAACCAGTATGTAGGAGGTTATGTGAATGGAGACAGTGGAAACAATATTAAGGGGGAGAGTTTGGGTTCAAAACATCTGGGAAATTACTCCCTATCTAGAGGTGAAATGAGACTAATACAGAACTGGGCTTGGGCTTTTAAGCCCTGAGAAGTCAGTCCCTAAAAAAAAACCCATCAAAGTTATTTTATTTGGAAGTTTCATTTTGTATAGTGCAGAGCAGTCAAATGGAGAGAAAACCACTCTCTCTGGCAGGAGCTCTGCATTTCCACAGCTGTTGCTGTGAGTACCCAAAGCTTTTCAGTGTTGACAGTTTACTTTAAGGCTCTTTGGTTCATCCCACCAGTCTCCACCAAATGAAGCACCCGGCCCAAATAAGTCGACAGGCAACCAAGGGAAGTGAAAGCCCCTTGAGGATTAAAACACAATGAGTAGAGATCCATCATTTTATCAGGCTAGGAAATTGGACTGAACTGTGTTCATATTTGCTGGAGATTCTGCAGGGGAACAAGAGCTAGTTACATCATAGGCTATATCATAGGTCCAGCTCTGATTTGCAGGGTGGGATACATCATAATCGTCATTGCATTGTTGTAGCATCTTCAGGCGCAACAAGGTCGAGGCCCTGTTTTTTCAGGCACTGAAGTGGCAGATACTGAATGGCCATACCCTATTTGGTGACCACCCAGCTTAAAACATGTTGAGAACAGGTTGTCACTAAAATCAGCTCAATTTAGATTGTTCTCAGTCCCTCCCTGTTCAACTGCTTGTGACGTGACCCAGACTGCAGTGACTTTACTCTTTCCACGCATGCACAACATGGTTGCAACAATGAATAGCTCCCAAGGAGCTTATATCTTTGCTATTTCTCATAGAAGTCACCTTATATATAGGTAAAATGTTAATGACATACCTCTTCAAACTCTGTTGAAGAGAGAATCTCTTTAAATGGGGAAGAATTAAGGAAAAATAGATGGGCAGGTGGACAAAATAGGATGTTGGCAAGGGGTCCAGCTCAAAAACTTCAACCCCCATGATGCACATAAAAATGGGCTGTCAAATGGGAAGTTAAGGAGTGGGAAGCTATGGAAAATTCTACTATCGGATTTCAACCCATGCTGCAAAAAGTCGGAGTTTGGACAGGGAACTGGAGGTGCTGCAGTGGCCTACTGAGGCCGGCCCTGAAGCATCTTAAGGGGTACCCAGAGCCCCAAGGCTGTGATCAGAACTACACAGTTTGATGTTTATTATGGATATTTTGTTGAAAACAAGCTTTCGTCACTGAGAAAAGCCATGAGATTGATACATTATTTCCATATTAATGTTTTAACCCAGGGACTTGACCAGACTTTTTCTGAGTGCTCTGTCCAAAGCCTTAAAAATATACTGTTGCCTACCTTCAGCTGAGAGTTCTGATGTGCAGTATGGTGGACCCCGAGCAACCACTTCTTGTAGGATGATTGCAAAACTGTAAATGTCGCCTTTGAATGTGCCTTTTCTGCGCATGTCTGGGTCCCTCAGTAACTCAGGAGCTGTCCAGAGCAATTCTAAAAAATTCCAGAGCATCACGTTTCTTACACTTAAGCTCAGACTCTTGCAAAGTAAGTGCTTAAAGGAATACCTTATTTCAGTCATTTGAGGAAAGGTTGGAAAGTCCTTCATTACTTACTGGACCAAATCTTTTACTTCTTGTGATGTATTAGAAATATTAAACTTCCATCCTGACAAAAAAATTGAATTTTCCAGATTTCACTCTACATTTAGAAAAAAAGGTTCAGTACCAACAAATTTTATCACGTAACACTAGCCTTGAACTTCAGCATAAGTCATCTCACCATTGCCAAAAGGTTTAACTAATTTTTTTTTATTTAAAATATCCTTGAGACAAAATGTTGGCACTGAAGCCTGGATTTCTTGTTACTGTTGTTGCTCTTTTAAAAAGCAAACAATTAGTACCATTATTTCTGTAGTACTTCTTAGATGAAAGTAGTTTCTGCAAAAGCAGTTTGTGACAATCTGAAGCACAATCAGTCTTTGTAATCCAATAGTTCAAGTGATGAAGAACACAGCTGTAAAACATATCCAGCCTCATCAAGAAATTAATCTTGAAACTGTGCTATTGTTACCCTGGTAATTGTGCATTCTGAATAATGGGAATAATGAACATTTCAACTACTGCAAGTATGTTTAACTTCTGTAAGGGAGGAGAAGGTCTTCTATCTGGTAACTGCCCTATCTGAGACACTGGAAATGCGTAGGCATCAAATCCCACAACAGAAGGATCAAAATACTACCTACTACTTGAAACCATGTTTCAAGAATAAATTGAGATATCAGAGGAATCCCAAAACAAGGGGCATGTGAAAGAAATCCTGTCAAAGTCTCCAGACCTGGTCCCATAAGATGTTCTTCCTAAGTGGTGGGATTCTCATGAGATAGCCTTTGGTAATTGGCATGTAGAGGACCTATTTCAAAGACATCTGCATCATTTTGTGTTTCAGATAGCTTCTTTTAACAAAAAGGCTCTTTGCATGTGGGTTAGTGTAAAACTGGGAATATAGGACTGGGTCTAAGTATGTGAAACCAATTCTATTGGTCACAGAAATTCAGTACTGATAAGATTTCAGGGACAGTTAAATCCTTCTCCAATTGCAATAAGCTTACATTCCGTCACAACTTACAATAAAATCTATTTTCCTTACAATGACACTCTGTTATTCACGTTTAGGAAGCCTGAAAAAAACTTAGCTTATCCTTTCATATAACAATGACATACAGGAAACAAGATGTCATGAGATTGAGCATGTAAATCCTTATGTGGCCACTGGCCTGAAATTGTATTAGGACAAACATTTGTTAAATCAGTGGAAAAATATTTCCAAAAAGAATATTTCCTCATGTCACCTACCTTCTGGGGATGGCTGAATATAGGGGCATTTCTGTGCTTCTAAGAGCTCGTTATAACCATAGTCAGTGATCTTCAGCACAAACCGGCCATCCACAACACAGTTACGAGACTTGAGACGTCCATGGGCAAAATCTCGGTGATGCAAATATCTAATTCCCTATGAAACACAGAAAAAACCCAAGGCTGTTCCTTAGGATTTATATTATTAATCAGCATTCAGAGACACCAAGCCAGATTGTCACCTTAGATGGCATCAGACACAGCATTGACTTTATGTCAAATGCAGTCATGATCAAACCAATAAACTACGGGGGAGGTTCAGAAATGGATTAGGAACATGAACTAGGTTGTTTGCACCCTCAAGTAATATTGGAAAGGTCTGACAGTTTTAGGAACAGTCAGATGCCTCCCTCTGTAGCCCTAGGACTCGGTGCACTCGTAAGTTTCATTTTTAGGCAAGGGTAAGAAAGCGGGCACAAGTAGTACTCAATGGTTAGGTCAAAGGAAACCATGAAGAGCTGGATGCCCTTATCCAGCTCCCTGCAGGAGGTTCAGAAGGTGGATCACAGGCTGCAAGAATTGTTCTGGCAGTCTACCCTCTGAACACTGTGTGTCCCAGATTAGTAGTTTACCATTATGGGATGAAAACACATGGGACATGATCGGAAGGATGTGAACACTCTACTAAAGTGACCATATGTGCAGGCATCCCGTGGCAGGGGATGGACACTGGTTCTATGGTGGATGCATTTCTGATTTGCAATAAGATAAGGCCTTCGAAAAACATGAATTTGTCACAAAATTTTTTGTTCTAGGTGATCAGTTGCAGCCTGATGTGTAGTTTTAACCTCTTATCCTGCTGTGGGGCTGTAGTCCTGTTACCCTAAATAATTAACTTCTCTCAGATGGTAACAAAATAAGGGTAAGAGTTCTCCATTAAAGATGCTGTGTATCGGTATAATTACATTCACATTGGTTTTCCCTGCATTACTATAAAAATCACAAAGTTCTGGATCAAATAGCTCAGTCAGTATAAAAGTCACATGCAGATCATGCCTCAGCAGGAGTAATGGACTTACTTTAATTAGATCCATCACAAGAGAGGACTTGAACATCCAGTCCAGTTTCATATCTTCATTTCTCAACAAGTCCTCCAGGCTTCCTCGGGAGCAGTACTCTGTCACTATGGCAAAGATGCCACAGTCAGAGAAAAAGCCCAGGAACAGATTCACATTTTCATGACGCAGATCTTTCATCTGAAACAAGACAGTGAATCACAACTAGTCCAAGTCAGCCAGACATCTACTTAGCAGCTTCTTGATATCATTAGATGTCCTTATCACTCTTGTACTCCCAAACAGCCTTACATACAAGGATGGGGAAGCAAACAACCTTTTTGATGGTTATTTTTGGCTACTCAGTGCTCTTTTCAAGCTTTGCTTTCCTTTGTCTATCCATTAAGACAAAGAAAGAAAGATAGTAAAAGCAAACTGAACAGAAATTTGTTTTCTCTTTAGACAGACCGGATTGAATCTTTCAATAGGCCAAAATGGCTTTGCTGGGGTAGATTGAGTTCAGCATGTGGCATCTTGCTCTGGGTCTGGTCTGATTTGGAAAGCAATTCCATACTTGAGGGTCCAAAGTTATCTGTCAACACTGCCTTTGGAGACATGATCTGGTAAGTTTGTTGTATTTATATGCATTAAAATGCCACTGCTATGTTAGCGATAGCTGTCAAAAACTAATGGCCTTGGATTTGGAAAATAAATATATTTTCTTGTCATTTGGTAACAATAATAAGATTTAAGACTAAAAGTCCACTTCTAACAGGCATCTTGGATGGAGACACAAAGCAAATACCAGAGAAATGTAAAACTGTCTCTGTGTCACACTGTCAACATATAATACATGAAAGTGCCTCACACCGCACAGGGATGAGCTCCCCCAAACCACTCTGCTTTTGCAGGCAAGGTCATTTGGAGGATTCATTGTACATTTAGCATTGTACCAGCTTTGAAGTGGCAGGTCCTGGGTGAGGTTTTGCAAACTGCTGACTCTGACATATTGATCATTGGTAAGTTTGTCAGATGCAGTCATGCATGGTCCATTCTACCAGATTGGACAAGACTCATTGACAACCATGATGTGTGATTCAATGGATAAACAGGAGACAAGGAGAATAAGAACACCCTGAAGCTGCAAAAGTCCCCCCAGAGAAACCTTCCCTCCACACATCTCTTTATCTCCTGTTCCTACCTTCCTTAAGATGCTGGTGGAGCTTTGCCGCAGATTGTGAATCACTCCCGTTTCAAATTTTTTCAGCCACACCCAGTCTCCCTGTCCATAATCACAGAATCACAGAATGAGTAAGGGTGGAATAAACACTGATGGATCATCTAGTCCAACCTCTGTGTTCAAGCAGGGTCAGCCTAGATCACATGGCACAGGCTTGTGTCCAGACAGTTCTCGAATATCTCCAGTGAGGGAGACTCCACAATCTCTCTGGACAACCTGTCCCAGTGCACAGTAACTCACAGAGTAAAGAAGCTCATATTCAGATGGACCTTCCTGTGCATCAGTTTTTGCCCGTTGCTTCTTGTCCTATTGTTTGGCACCACCAAGAAGAGCCTGGCTTCATCCTCTTGGCACCCTCCCTTGAGATATTTGTACACACTGATGAAGTCCCCTCTCTGTTGTCACTTCTCAAGGCTGAACAGGCTCAATTCCCTCAGCCTTTCCTCATAAGAGAGATGCTCCAGTCCCCTAATCACAGCACAGGTGGATGAATGATAGAGCAAGTCTCTGAGCAACAGCTAACATTGGGACCTAGGTATGAATTCCAGATCCTTCACTTTCAAAGTGGTTGAGGATTTTTAATGTTCTTGGCAGTAGATTATTTCTACACTGCACCTGAATAAGAATATCCACACAAATCCTCAAGAAAGGGGTGAGGCAGGGCTTTCACCCGGATCAGAACTTCATGCCTGGAAGGTGTATTAGTATCTGATAAACAATGATAAATTGATTAAAAAGGAAAGCAACTCTGGCCAGATCTTTTTTCTGTCATTAATGATAGATCCAGTTTATTTTGCTCCTCTTCAGGTAAAGTTACCATGCCATTTTTTCAAAAAGCTGTATTTTCAGGTAAGAACTGATGGACGGGGTGAAAATTCTTGGCCATTGCTTCTGCTTAAGCTCCATACAGTCCTAGTGGCACAAAGGGGAATTTGAGAGCCTTTATTTGTGTATTTGGATGCTGTCTTGTCAGAAAGTTCCTTATTAGAGATGTCACCAGCTAAAGACGGTCTTGTAAGAAAGGTTCTTCATGGTGCCTTTAGATGGTGACTTCTCTAACGGGGACCAGACCTGACAATGCATATGGATGTTGAATATCACCATCCCACAAGACTCCAAGTGTCAGGGTGAGGATTGGGGTGGAGTATTCCAATCTTTACTTACCTTAAGCACTGGTAAGTCCATGCTTGGGAATAACTTATTTTCATGCTTAGAGTCTGTTCATAGAATTCCCGTTCTGGGACCTACAGTACTGTAACCCAAGATTTTCCCACTAGAGCAGTTCAGTGAACAGAAGCAGTGGGAGAAGGCTGCATGAGGTCTCTACCTACCTCATACAAAGCCACGTTGGAGGTTTCGTGGGTGGCAACTGTGCTTTTCAAGGAAGAGGAGCGGGTTACAGATTTCAGGCTTCTGCAGTTGACTGCTATGCTGTTTGCATCAGTCAGACTGTCCAAGGTCAGCCTCTGGAAGGCAAGGAAAGCAGGTGCAAGACAGCTACCACCTTTGGATATAGACTTCCACTCCAGCTCTGTCTTGGACCACAGATTTCTTGATAAGTAAATCATGGGATCATCCCCCAGGAGGTCACCAGCTCTGGGTAGGAGCCAGCACAGACCAGAAACATTTTCCAATAGGTTTGAATGCAGACACTTTATTGTAGAGGATGATTTGTCTATATGGACATGCACTATAGTACACCATCCAACCTCAAGAACAAAGAATAAGCCCTGGTAGTTAGAATAAACATAATGAAGGATACTGTTTTACATCATCGTAAAAGCTCTGACATCTAATCTGAGACTCAAAACCACTCAACATATGGGAAATTTTCTGATATGCAGGGAAAAATGACATGGAGAAGTGAATACCTTCACAGAGATTCATGGGTATGAAAATACCACACAGCAAACCTGTTCTAGTGTTCCACCAGATTACTTTCACGAGTAGAAGACTTACCTTTCTATGTAATTCTGGGTTGATGAAGATGAGGTCATCCAAGGTCACTATTATCTTGTTCGGACCCTTGAAAAGCTGATTGTTCAAGATACTCTGCCTGAAAGGTTTAGAGAGTCACGGTTATCATTTTTAGGTAGGCAACCAGTTTGCACCGCCTCTGAATTCCCCACATCTGGCTTCCCTGTAGTATTAGACCCCGCCTGCAGTACTGCTTCCAGCTTTGGGGACCCCAACATAAGAAGGTTGTGGACCTGTCAGAGCAGGTTCAGAGAAGGCCACAGATGCTCAGAGGGCGGGAGCACCTTTCCTGTGGTGACAGGCTGAGAGAGTTGCAGTTGCTCAGCCTGGAGAAGAGAAGGCTCCGGGGAAACCTTAGAGCCCCTTCCAGTGACGAAAGGGGATACAAGAGAGCTGGAGAGGAATTTTGGACAGGGTCATGGAGAGACAGAACAAGGGGAAATGGCTTCAAACTGAAAGAGGGCAGATTTAGATTAGAAATTTGGAAGAAATTCTTCACTGTGAAGGTGGGGAGGCACTGGCACAGGTTGCCCAGAGAAGCTGTGGCAGCACCATCCCTGGAAATGTTCAAAGTCAAGTTGGATGAGGCTTTGAGCAACCTGGTCTAGTGGAAGGTGTCCTTGCCCATAGCAGAGGGGTTGGAACTTCATGGTCTTTAAGGTACCACACCACATGGTGTGGCAATGGGGTTGGATACTGGTGAAACCAGGGGACAAATCACAATGCCTTGTCTTGGACTGAAATCCCCTGAATCAAGAGTTATCCATTTCACAGACTACAAAAGATACCACCTTAAATGCTGTGATCACAAATAGACAACTTGATTTAATCTGGTTACAAATATTAATTGGATGTGTGTGTAATGCATATTTTGTTTTGCTCAGATTTATTTGTCATATCCCAAATCATCCTCCATTAGGACACAAAAATAGGTTTCATTAGTCCTACTGGCCTGGCTGGTGAGCAAACCACTCTCAGACACACCAGCCTTTCTTAGGAATCGATGCTGAATTGTGGGTAATGTATAAAAGCTGTCTGGACACAAGTTACTGTTGAAATATGCTGTCTGAGTATCTACATTTTAGTATTGTGTTGTATGAAGCACAGAGGAAGATATGCTCTTGTAATGATCACAAGCTTACACAGAGGGAAAAGCTATATGGGATGAGCAGTATGGCACATGTGACATCACACCTCATCATTTTAAACCCACTGTTTCAATGGACATCAAGGTCTAACACTGAGCACAAAGCAGACTGTATCTATTAGACAGTCAAAAGCTCCCCAAGCAGGAGCAGAGAAGGGAAGGAAATGCTTCCCTATTGCCCTCAGTGTCACTTTCTTGTTTAAGGAACTTTGTTAACACTAAAAGCAGATGTCAGCTCTGCACTCCCCTAAGACTTTTCTGACACTGAGATTAGCTCAGTTGGCTAGAGCATGGTGTTAATTATGCCAAGATTGTGGGTTCAATTCCCACCTGGCCATTCAAGTGAGAGCTGGGCTCAATGTTCCTTGTGGGTCCCTTTCAACTCAGAATATACTCTGGTATTGACTATTCTGTGATATTGATAAGATGGACCGTAGAATGTCTTTTGCTAACTCTACTATAGAAGAACTCCATTCCATAAAATACCCCCGCATCACAATTCATTTTTCCACTCCATGTACCATTTTGGGCATTTTAGAAGAGCACAGAGAGTTTCCTGGAGCTCAGAGGGAGCCTTATCCGTGTAACCACAGGCTTTACCTGGGATGATGTTTTTACAATCTTTCTCTAACCACACTGTCCCAAGCCACCCAACTCATATTCATGGAAAAAACTCATAACTTATGTATCTTACACTGGTCCACCTGAAAAACCTTGCTTGATCAATCACATCCTTTCCCACAAGCATGGAGGAAAGCATCTCTCTGCCGAAAGCTAAGCATAGAGAGTAGAGTGACTCATTGGAGGTCATGCAGCAGATCCCTGGCAGAGCTAGGACCAGAGCTTTCACATTTAAACACAGACTATGGTGTGGTTTAGATTTAGTTCTAGACATGCCCTTTCCTAATAAAAATTATTATCTGAGTCATGCTGGACTTTTTTCTTGCCGTGCAGATGGCCGTACATCTTTACTCATGACTGAGCCTTCCCAATCATGGTACTTGTGGAAGAGCTTACAAATAGAGTAGGTAGAAAGATTGTCTTCTGTTTACTTAATTGTAGAGGCTGGTAGCCAGGGAATAGAGCTGGGTTTCAAAGTGTGGGTGGATGGAGGCAACCTCCTCAGTGCCTGCAATGCTATCAGAAGCAGCTGTGTGCTTGAAGTGGGGGAGCTGTTTGGGGTGTTGCTTGCTGGGTGGCCTTGTATCATCTGGGTTCAGAGGGATGATTCAGGACTGAACACAAAACATATTTGGGAATTATTTGAGAGGTAAGGCTGGATGGAACAACCTAGGAACCCTGCTTTGCTGAACTCATTGCTGCTGAGTAAATGCCTTCTACTTTCAGTCCATTTACATTTTACTTTCAGTCATGTAGACACCAATAATCAGAGATAGACTACTCCAGAGGCCACAGTGTCCTTGCCAAACATCAATCCATAGCTCCTGGACTAAGCACTCCGTTTGGCTGATTTCTACCCTGGGTGTAGAGTGGGACACACACACACACACTTGGAACACAAGTGTGACCTATGCAATTATTGGAAACAGTTCCTTCCCCAGACGACTACTGCATTTGCTCCAAAGGTCTCATCCCCAGACCAATATTTATACAATGGGAATGATTAGGGATCTCAACTCCAGTTCAAAACAGAGAACGAATCAGCTTGATAATAAAGAGGCATCCTAAACAGTTGGACTAAACCCTCTCTAGAGGTATTTTCTTTCTCTTTAGTACATGAAGAAAATGTCAGCCTTGCATAGGAAACATGATTATATCGGGGAAGAATGATCTGGAGTAAGAAAAAGAGTTGGTCTCTACCCTCATGTTCTCATAGCAGATTCCTGTCTTTGGTTCATATACCATCCTTTGCACTTCCAAAGTGATAATCATCCTGATGCTTCAGACCCATCATCCAGCTAATCCTTACAGCAACAGACTGCAATCTTCTACCAAGCCTGGACTGTGTTAAGAGTAAAATGGCTGCTCCTGAGACTGCAGAACCAACGCCTGCAGTGCTCAAGTCACTGTCACCTAGTAAAGTTGTATTGGGTTTGCATGGCAAGGTTTTGGTAGTTGGGGGCTATAGGGTGGCTTCTGTGAGAAGCTGCTAGAACCTTTCCCTTTGTAAGGAGGGGATTCTCCTTGATGGAACCAATGCCAGCTGGCTTCAACACGGACCTGCTGGTGATCAAGGCCATCAATGGCAGTGGTAGCACCTCTGAGATAAGATATTTAAGAAGGAAAAAATAACTGGGAAACTTCTGCCAGAGTGGAGTGAGAATATGTGAGAGAAATAGCCCTGCAGAAACCAAGATCAAGAGGAAGGAGGGGGAGGAGGTGCTTCAGGTGATGGAGTAGAGATTCCCCTGCAAGCTTGTGGTGATGACTTGGGTGAGACAGGTTGTATTCCTGCAGTTCATGGAGGTTCTCAGTGGAGCAGAGACCCATTTGCAATCCATGAGCAAGAGGATGCCCAAATTAGTCTGTGACCCCTTGGGAAGCCTGCACTGGAGCAGACTCCTGGCAGTACCTTAGACCTGTGGAGAGAGGAGCACATGTTGGAGCAGGTTTGCTGGCTGCATTTGTGACCCCGTGGGGGACTTATGCTGGAGCAGCCTGTTCCTGAAGGACTGCACCCTGAAGGACTGCTGGAAGAGTTCATGGAGAACTGTGGCCTGTAGAAAGAACTCTTAACATATATATTCACAGAGGACTGTCTCCTGTGGATGGTACCTCATGCTGGAGCAGGGGAAGGGTGTGAGGAGTTCTTCCCTGGAGGAGGAAGGAGCGGCAGAGACAATGTATGAAAAACTGACCACAGTCCCCATTACCTGGCTGCTGTGCCACTGGTGGGGACAAAGTATAGAATTTAGGAGCCAAGTGAAGCCTTGAGAAGAAGGGAGAGGTGGAGAGAAGCTGATTTTAAGATTTGATTTTATTTCTTATTATCCTACTCTGATTCGACTGATAATAAATTTAGTTTCCCCAAGTCAACTCCATTTTGGCCATTGTAGTAATTGGTGAATGATCTCTCCCTGCCCTTATCTTGACCTATGAGTCTTTTGTTATATTTTCTCTTCCCTGTCCAGCTGAAGAAGGGAGAGATAGAGCGGATTTAGTGGATGCCTCCCATGTAGCCAGGGTCAACCCACTATAACTATGAAGTGATTTGTGGCTGGAGAGCAGAGAGCACAATCACACCTGCTTTGTGTGCATGGTCTAAACTGCTGGTTAAAGCATGACCCTCCCCCCCAGAAAGTTAAAAATGACACCAACTCAAATATGTGCT